CACATGGGGCACAACGCCTCGGCTACAGCTCTTGTTGCTGCGGCAGCGGTACCCGCCATAGGTGTTGATGCAGATGGGCTTGTCCCGGGGGCAGATAAAGGGGAACTCGGTGCACTCGTCCGTGTCTGCAAGCAGAGAGAGGGGCCTCAGTGTGAGACCGCTGGGCTGGGAGCTTGGGGCTGCTGGCCATGGCTGCTCCGGTTCGCCCTGCACATGCTGGATAACTCCCCCCAGAGGTAGCCACACACAAGCTATACCTGTGCTCAGGAGGCTCACGGCACAGCCAAGGCCGCCTTACCGCATCCCTGCTGCCCCTCCATTGCTTGTGGCTCTAGCACAATGCCTGCCACATGCCAGCCATGCCTCCAGCACAGCGCTCTCCTCCCTCCCTGTGACACCACAGTCCCCCTCTAGAGCCGTGCTGCTGGCCCCATTCCCAGGCCACATGCCAGGCAGACAGCTATACCCTGCATTGAGCCACATGGCAGCCCTGCCTGCATGCCCAGCCACCTCCCTGGCTGCCACCTCCCTGTAGCAGGGTGCTGCCCTTGTGCCCCCGATGGGGTCGTGCTGCAGTATCCCAGGTGCAAGCTCGCCTGTGTCCCCAGCAGCCACTCACCTACACAGCGTCCATTCTCGTGCTGGGAGAATCCCTGCCCGCACTGCATTTGGGGAGAAGCGGAGATCGACAGGATGGGGAGGAATCAGCCCTGGGTAGCCACCGAGCCAGCAGAGCTCAGCCGCTCTTTCCTGCCTCCCGCCCTGCACCCACACCTGGCCCTCACCTCCAGCAGGGCAGGCACGAGTGGCTCCTCTGCATCCAGAGGGTAGGGGACCTCCAGGACGGAGTTGGTCTCGCTGCTGGCCACGGCTCGTGCCACGACGCGGCCATCCGGCCAGGTCACCTCCAGGCTGCTGGCTTTGTCATGCCCTGCAGGCAGGCAGCCTGTCAAAGGGGGGGTCTCTGGGGCAGGCAGGGGGATGGTAGGGATGGAGGGGCAAAACCTCCCCTTGCTCCCCGAGCCGGGCCCCAGGTGCCTGTGCTGACAGCCCATGCATAGGGATGCAGCGTGAGGGGTGCACGTGGAGATGATGGGATGCCCTGCCAGGGGGCAGGGACACCCCTGCAGGCATAGCTGCCAGCCGTGCTGAGCCAGGGGAGGGTTAATGGGCAGGGAAAGCCCTGGTTCCTGGGCAAAGCAGCAGGCAAGGGGTGGAGAAGGGGGCAGCTGCTCCTTACAGCAGGGCTGCAGTAGCTGGGCACCCTGCCCACAGCCTCCCCTAGAGCCTACCATGCCCAGGGAGATGGACATGGATGACTACCGTGCTGCAGGGTGCCGGGGCAGCAGAGGTGACCCCTGCTCAGGGGGGTGCTGGGGAGGGCTGGGGGTTGGAGGCAGCCCCTTGCCCCCCGGCTCACCCAGTCCAAAGTGCGCCACAGGCTCCATCTCACAGAGGTACCCCGATCCACCGTCGATGATGCGCAGGTGGGCCCCGCTACGCCGCGTGAACAGCACCACTTTGGCCCCCCGTGCAAAGGCCCCAAAGCGGGTGCGGGGGATGACGCGCAGCCAGTTGTTGCCGGCACCCTGCGAGGGAGGAGGGAGCAGGGAGACTGAGCTGGGAGAGGCGGAAGGGATGGGGACAACGCGAGGACCCCCTGCTTGACTCACCTGGGTGCCCTTGAAGATGGAGATCGGCTGTGCCATGGACTCGCCGTGGGACAGGATCAGGTCCAGCATCCCATCGCCATCAAAATCTGTCACTGCACCCCCTGCAAGGACAGGATCAGATTATGCCTCGGGCCCGACCCCCCGTCTATCCTGTACTACACCCTGCTGCCGGTGTGGGCTCCCACAGCTGGCAGCAGCACTCCCGGCAATGCAGGGGCAACAGGGAAGATGGGGTGACCCCAGCGCAGGAGTAAGGGTCCCTGTATGGCTGGCACCCTGCAGTCAGGTGGGTCAGCTCCCCGGGCAGTGGAGGGGACAGGCAGTGCCTGGGGGGCTGTGGGACATAGGAGGCTGCCTGCCCCCCTCCCAAATGCAGAGGTTGGCTTTGAACAGCGGGCACCCAGGAAGGAGCCCCCCAAGAGCGAAGCCCTGGGAAACAACTGGAGATGGCACCCTTAGCTAGGTGCAGGTGGAGAGAGAAAGCATGGGGCCACTCTTGGGTGATGGGGGCTCCAGTGAGCTGGCGGGGAGCAGGCAGGTGACCAAGCCAGGCATGTGGCATCCCCAGGCACAGAGGGTGCCAGGGAGTGCTGTGGCACACCCCCCAGGCATGGGCCGCCCCCGCCAGGACTGGGGGAACTCACCTGTGCCCCGTCCTTCAGGCTCCAGTGCATCCCCTGGATTCAGCTCTTCCACGATGGGGTCTGAGTTCTCCCTGCGGATGAGCCTGCCGAGCACAGACAGGGCGTTAGTGCCAGCCCCTGCGGCCTCTGGCAGCTCCCGGGAAGTGCCTATCCCCCCCGAGCAGCCTGGCAGAGAAGTGACAGCACTGGTGGCAGCCAGGGGTGATGCTGGTGGCTTTGCAGGGTGGATGGTGGACAGGACTGGGCCCTCCCTGTTGGCACCTCACGTCCCCGCTCCATGGAGGGGTGACAGGGATGTCATGAGAGTCTGGCTCTTGTGAGTCTGAACTGCGGAGCAGCAGTGCCATCTCTGAACACTGCTGCATCCCTCCGGGACTGGAGACCCTCCCCCCCAGGGGCTCCCCACCATGCCACTACCCCACATCAACCCACGGGTGCTGGCACCAGGCAGACAACCTGCTCCCACCACCCTGCATGCTGGGTGAGGAGGTGCCACGCAGCGGTAACAAGGAATTGATCCCCACAATTAACAGGAGCCACAAACAAGCTTCCATGCGGTTGCTAATCAGCGGTGCCGGGGACCCCGGGGGCTGCTGCAGGCACGATCGCAGCGGCTGGTAATGACACCGGGAAGGGCTCAGTCACGGTGCCTTTTATTAGCCGAGCCTGAGCAGCGGCACTGCTGGAGAGGAGCCCCGTGAGCCTGGCTGTGCCACGAGGGCTGCTCGGCCCCCCTGGTACCCACAGGGCTCGTACCGGAAGAGGCGGTTGGCGGAGGAGCCACGGTAGGCGATGTTGTTGAAGAAAACCTCCAGCTCCTGGTCGTTGTCAAAGTCTGCTGCGATGACGGTGCGGACGGGGGACGGCATGGAGAACTTGGGGGTGGCGATGTCCTGCACAAGGGACGGGCACAGGGTGAAAAGGAGCACAGGGAGCAGGACACCGGGTCCCGCTGTGGTGCTTCGGCTCCCCTCCCCCCTGGGAATTGGGGCTCAAAGCCACATAAGGCTGAAGCCGGGCCCCCCAGCCAAGGAGGCTCAGCAGCAAAGCTGGTGGTGTCGGGGTCCTGGCCCCATCCCTCACCCGGAATCGGACGCGCCCAGGGGCCCCGCTCTGCAAGTAGAGGCGGTGTGGCCCATTCCAGTTGCCGTAGACAATGTCCACCCGGCCATCGCGGTTGAAGTCAGCCAGCGCCACGCCGCGTCCGTGCTGGTAGGGGTCATCCAGCCCTGGGGAGCCGCAAAGGGATGGGGGGAGACAGGACCCCCTCCCTGCCTCTGTCTCCCTGGGATGCCTCCCGGGATGTGCCCCGTGGTCCCCAGACAGGTCCTCCCCACGCAGGGCTGCATCCCTGTGCTGACAGATGCGCCGGTACACTTTGGCCACCCCCCGCAGTCAGTGGGGCTCTGGGTCCCCAGGGCTGTCCCTCCACCCCGAGCTCAGTCTGCCCGGGCAGGCAGGGGCAAGCAGAGCCAGCCCTGTCCTGGGGTCCCCGACCTGGGTCCTCCCTTCTGCTCCCCCCACTCACCCACGGCAGCTGCCACGTCCTGGTATGTCCCGTCCCCCCGGTTGTGGAAGAGGAAATTGGGGCTGTTCTCATTACTGCAGAATATGTCGGAGGCGCTGTCGCTCAGGATGGGGCCCACGGCCACCCCACGGCCCCCTGGGGACAGCAGCCCAGGGGTGAGAGGGCAGCCAGCACCCTGCCCCAGGGAGATTCATGCCCCCCACACCCCCTTGGTGCTGCCCACCCAGTGCTCCTGGGACCCCTGGCATCCCCTCCTCGCCCACCTCCCTCCTTCAGTCCCTCTCATCAGGAGCTAATTGGGCCTGGCAGCTACTTGTGTCACTCCCAACCCTAATCACTGCCATCACCATGGTGACAGTACTCCTAATTAGTGACAATTTACTGCTGGGGAGACAGGGCACAACAGCGGATCCCATGGTGGTGGGACAGCGTGGGGTGCAGGCTGGTATATTCCCTGCTGCCCTGCTCATGTGCCCACGTTCCCGTGCCATGCTGCCAGCCGTGCAGATGCTGTGGGCTCCAGAGGGACCAGCCTGACTGCTGGGCAGAGTGATGGTGAGCATCCCGTGGCCCTGGTCCCTTACACGGGCCGTGGGGCTGCCACTAGATGGGGCAGTCAGGCAGCCTAATGCATGGCACGGGCCACTGCCTGCGCTGCCCTGCCTGCAATGGGATCCCACGCTCACCGTGCCCAGCAGCACCCCGTCCCCTCCGCGGGGCCGCAGCAGCTGGGTACCTGTGTACTTGCTGACGCCAGCCTGGGCAGCCACGTCCACCAGCACCACGATGCCGCGGGCAGGGTCACTGGCAGCCACATCCATCTCAATCAGGGCGTGGGGGCCCACGTTGCCACTGGCGTAGTTGGCGATGTAGATGGAGTACCTGCCGGAGCCCTGCGGCCGGCGGCACCTCCTCAGCACCCGCCCACCCAAAACCCAACTCCACAGGGACCATGGGATCCCTGCCATGGGGCTGGATGCTCTCATGGCTCCATGGGACCAGGCACCACTACCATGTGCTGAGCAAGAGCTCTGCAAAGCCCATGGTGAAAAGCACCCCAGGAGTGGTGATGTACCCCATTGCTTCCAGGACCTCTGTGGTCCCCAGGCTCAGGGTACTGGCACAGGGCACCCTGTCCCCCCAGCACCCCTGGTGTGCCAGGTCCTCCCCATCCCCACCGCCCCCCCTTGTCCCGTGCAGCAGCTGGACCCTGATTTAGTGATAATCATTTGGAAACAAACCACTGGGGGAGGAGGAAGAAGAAAGAGCAGGTGACAGGAACATAAATCACCTCGACAGGCACGTTTATCAGCTGGCGGCAACCATGTGGACAGGCGCCTGCAGTCCCCCGGCTGGGGGCTGCCAGCCCTGACAGTCATGGGCTGCTGGGGGGCACCCCCAGTCCCAGTGGGGGGTGGGATGGGGCTGGTACCCAGGCGAGGGGAGAGGTCCCCTGAGACCCCACAGGGGAGGGCTGGAGGGGCATAGGGGTGTGGGAAGGGAGCGGAGATGCCCCCTGCCCATCATGCCCTGCCTGCTCACCATCCGGTCCACACAGGCAACGGAGCGCCCAGCGAAGCGGCTGGCCACGTCCCGGTTCACCTCGTCGCTCAGGAGGTCCTCCCAGCGCCCATTGCGGAGCTTGAAGAGCTTGTCCGTGTAGGTGGCCATGCCTGGGGGGGGCACGGGTCAGGGGGCTGCAGCATCCTGCCTCCTCCCGAGGAGGGTGCCCTGCGGCAAGGGGAGGCTGTGGAAAAGGTACCCTTTTCCTGGAGCATCCCGAACCTCTGCTCTGTCCCCCACAGCCCCCAGCAAGCACCACAGGGCCAGGCTGCCACTGCAAGAGCCCCCGTGACCCTTAAGGGCCGCCAGAAGACACGTGGAAGAATCAACTCATTAAGGTAAAATGTGTCCCCACGGGGTGCAGCCCTGTAGATCATCCCCAGGAAGGTAAAAAAAAAAAAAAAAAAATCGATTTGGTGCCAGGCACAGGCAGCGAGCCACACTACCCGTGACAGCGCCGATGGCAGCGCCTGATTTAGGGACAGGTGTGCCGGCAGCCACCACCAGCCCGGGTAATGAGGAGCATCAGGAAGACAGATCTACTGCCCGGAGGTCACAGCTGTGGGACAGGGACACAGGGCAGAGCTGGGCTGGAGCACCAACCCAGGGAGCTATGGGGATGCCCAGTGCTGGGCTGGGGCACACGGATCTCCTCCCCACGAGAGACATCCCAGGAGCTGGGACAGCACTGGCAGGGCAGGATTAGACCTGGCTTGGTCCAGAGGGCACAGGAGAACTATGGCATGGAGGGGCACAGCTGCTGCAGGGCGCAGCTGGGATTTGCAGCGCAGGGTCCCTGTGGCAGGGCAGCCCCGGGGGGTGATGGGGAAGCTGCCGTCCTGCTTGGGGTGCCACCGGGAGGGTGGTGGGCAGCTGGAAGTGCTGACTCGGCAGCTGGCTGGGCTCAGTGTCCCGCCCGCGCTGCCATCAATCAATGGAGCCACTCAACTGAGAAATTAACTCCAGCCCGCACACATCCCTCACATGCCGAAGGTTGCAGGCAGCCATGCTGGGAGCTCCCCCCCGTGCCTGGGGTTCAGCCACCAGCAGGGCTCACCGGAGAAGGCGTTGTTGGTGTTAAGGAAGTAGATCTCCTCACGGCCGTCCCCGTCGATGTCGCAGGCTGTCACGCCGATGGCGTTGCCCTGCCGGTCCCGCAGCGCGTAGTACGGGGAGCCCCGCTCATCCTCCGCCACGTTCACCACCCGCCCCTGTCCCCTC